TTAAATATTTCCACTGATATTCACCTTTATAAAAGATCACTAGTTTCAGGACACATTTATCATGCAAATAGTCCCCAGCAGGTACATTAGCGGTGGAAACCAGCCATGAGACGGGGACTAACAATTTCACCTCTGCTCTTCTTCATTCTAAGTTAAAGAATCGAGCTTCTCATTCCATCTCTATGTGGGGGAAGGAACATTTGGGTGGGGGCAACATAATACTGCAGTCATCCAGCCAGTTTTGTCAAACACCACAGCTCGCCTCCCCACCCCACTAGATTCGGCCACTCAGAGGCAGGGCAGACAGCGCAACAATGACTCCGGTTAGAAACTGCAAATAGAATGCAAAACTTGTATTTTAACCCCCACCGACACAAAAACAGTAGGATTTGACTGCATCATGCTCTGTCAGGTGCATCAAAGTACTCTAGGTTTACAGCATTCCAGGCAAATTTGTAACAACAAGAAATAGGACAGTGTGATAAGCCAGTACTAGCAAGAAAGCCTTCAAGCTGTTAGGACATGCTGACTTCAAATGCCACCAGGAACTTTGCAGAGAAACTGCATTCTGGATGCTGCCTGTGCTGCTTGAAGGGCTGGCTGGGGGCATAACAAACAACTAGCTGGAGCGCGTCTGAGGAGGTGAACACGTTGCCAATAATGGCAAAACAACACAGAGCCCTTGTCGGGCCACATCTCAGGTTTAGAAGTGCATTCTTTGGAATCTTAGTCAAGTGAGGCTTGTGTGTCTGTGTGCATGGATAGGATGTACCTCAGTGATCAGCCACCTCGCCGACATGCTACAAATGGGTGCTCTCTAGCGACTTAATCAACTGTACTTGTTCGAGATTGATTGTGCCCTTTGAAAGGAAGTGTTTCCGAGGCTTCCCCGCTAGGATTTTAAGTAGAAGTCCTAAAAAATCCCATTTCCCTGAATCCCAGAGGGAAATTCCCCAAAGACCTAAAAATCCAGACCCTGCATTTTTCATAAGGATCCAGCATATTTCAAACGACCCAAGAGATCAGCTCGATCTTGTTATTTACTGCAGTCGCTGTGATCCAGATGAAAATGCCAGCCACAAAACCCAAATTTCTCCTCTAAAGTAATACATTCCCCTATTAACAGCGAGTTTTACTACCGAGGTCCGACTATGCTTCGTTTTTTTTCTACTACGCCCACAACTTGTGAGAGTTCTACAAAGTCTAAGCCACTTAGCAACACACACACACGGTTTGGCTCCACGATCACCAACCACCCCCTGAATTTGATCCTATCATCTCATTATTTAGGATACTGATCCCACACAGCAGACACAACGTGCGAACACAGCAGACACAACATGTGAAGAGCTCTGCAAAGCCCATTCCTGTTCCTGGAAAAATAACCAGAAGCACACATCTGCCTGACCATGAGTCAGGAATATCAATGTTGTGGTGGAGCCCATTTCTGCTGTGACCAATCCACACCGAACACACAACAGAGGCGACTGCCACAGAGATATTCCAGAGCAAGCTTCCCCTTCTCGGGGCCATACTTAGCAATGTCATACACGGTCTCCTCTGTAAGAGCACCCTTTTAAGACTCTTCACAATGACCCCGTGAGTCTTCAGTGCAAAGCCACAGACACACCGCCACGCACAAGTCACCTGAGTCTCAGTTTGGGTGATTCAGGCATAAGCAAACTAGAAAGAAAATCAACTTTCAGGGACGAGTGACAGGAACCACAGCGATGAGATGAACTTGCCCCATCTGGTACTGGTGATCTTCGCGATCCGAGATCATGGGAGCCCGTTACATACTATGTCCCATTCCACTTATGTAACTGGAAGATCGCCGGCGAAGGGGGGAGGATGGAAGGGCACTCATGTTCCGAGGCCACAGCACCCCCCCAAAGACCCCGGGGGCACTCCTTACACAGAAGAGCCTCAGGTGCCGCCGGACACGCAATCCCCTACCCACGGCTCTGGATGCGAACTAGAACAGCCTCTTTATGATGAGTTGTGGGACCAGACGCACAATATCTAGTTCCTTTTGCGGGTTGACAATAATTCTCACCTACTTGGTCCTGCTAGACAGGAAAGGAGATGGTGGACGACTCGCTCGCAACGGGGGCAGAAATTCATGGAATGGGCGAGAAGGAGGGGGAGGCAAAGCCTGGAGATGGGGGTGAGAGCGCAGGAGCCCTTGTGGCGCACTCTCTCGACAGGAGACGGACTGCGCACGCGCGCCGGTGGGGGGGGCGAGTAACGGGAGAGGGGGCGCGCAGGGAAGGGAGAGGGGAGAGCGCGAGGAAGGGAGAGGCCGGGGCCGCGGGCGCGCGACGGTGCCACGGGCCCGAAGCCCCTAGAAGGGCACGACGCACACGCAGCCCGGACAAGTGAAGCTCTGGCGAAAGAGGCGCCCATGGCGCTCGGGGTCGGGATGCGCGCCGGTGGCGGGAGGAAGCGGGACGCCAGGCGAAGGCGGCCCGGGGAGGCCGCGTCGAGGACGGACACCCGCGAGTGTGGGTGACGGGCCGGGGGGAGCCCGTCACCGGCGGCGGCGGGAGGGGGAGGGTAGAGAGGAGGGACGCCATCCGCCAGCCGTGTCGCCGACCCCGCGGGCCCCTCCCGCGCCACGTCCCGCCCCTACCCCCCGCCCCTCGGCAAGGGTCCCCGCCCGCGGCTGCGGCGGTCCCACTCACAGTCTCTCCTCCTCGCCTCCTCCTCCTCCTCCGCTTGGCGCGGCAGCGGCGGCGGCGGCCATTTTCCGGACGGCTTTTACCACAGCCCTCTCTCCGAGAGGAGGGAGCGCGCGCCTCCGACGCCGGGACCCCGCACGGCCGACGTCGCGCCCCGCCCTCCCGGCCGGCATGCGCGCAGCTGCACCTGCGCGCCTGCGTCCCGCCCCCCGGCCCCCGCAGCGAGCCCGCCCGCGATTGGGTGCGATGGCCGTGGAGGGGCGGGGCCTCGGCGGCGACGCGACCAATTGGCGGGAGTTTGTGTCCATTCTGGCCAGGGAAAAGGGGGCGGGTACCCTGTCCAGCTGCCTATTGGCTGCCATTGGCCATCATTTGGTGAAGAGAGGTGGCTTTGGCACGAAGGGGCTGGTTTAGTGGGCGGAATTTGAATATTAAGGATTAATGGGCCCTTGCGGATGCTGGGGCAATTGAAGGCCTAGGCTCCAGACTCCTGGTTTTGCGGCCCTCCCTGGCTATTGACATGCTGTCCACAAGTGCACCTAGTACGCTGCAATAAGTGTTCCATTGCACCCACTTTCCCTAAATCCCATCATCTTCAGTAGAAGCAGCAAAGTTGCATGTCCTGGGCCCTGATCCAGCTAAGGGACCTTGATTTAATAGGCCCATTGCATTCTTTCACCCGAGCCTGCCATGAGTCTCACTCTCATAGAGGCAGGGAATAAGCTGACAACAAATCACAGCCTTGTCCTTGGTGAAACACTCTCATGGGGGAAGAGGGTACATGCCAAGCTGCATGACACTTGACATTGTTGGATCAGATGGTTTGGTGGAGGTGTGAAGAAAGGATAGTGGGATCACAGGAGAACAATCTAAGCTATGCCTGGAGGGGAAAGGGAAGACTTCCTAGAAGAGGTGATTTGGGAGCTAAGGTCCAGCAATTCTGTTTTGTAAAAATATTTAAGAGTGTGAGAAAAGTTTTAACCAATGGAGTGTTCAGGACAAGACTGTTTGTCAAAGCGACCTTACTCTGATTCCAGCCATCATCCAATTCATCCAGTGCTTGTGCTAGTTCTATGATTAATGAGGAACCCTCTGATTCTGAGTTGGCTCCAATCCATTCATTTATTAAACAGCCAGGCACTGTTCCAGGCTCTGGGTGCACAGTACTGAACAAGACAGGGAACTAACATTATATGGAAGATTCATACTAAACATACAAATAAGTGTATATTATAATGTCACATAGTGATAAGGGATTTGAGATAGATAAAACAAGGGTGCAGGGAATGTTATTTAGATATCCAGCCTTAGCTGGTTTGACTCAGTGGCTAGAGCGTTGGCCTTCGGACTAAAGGGTCCCAGGTTCAATTAGGGTCAAGGACTGTGGGCTCGATCAGCTGATCAACAATTTTCTCTCATCATTGATGTTTCTATCTCTCCCTCTCTGAAATCAATAAAAATATATTTTAAAAATATTATAGATATCCACAGGCTTTTGCCCTCATTTTATTCTCCCATATGAACATCTGGGGAGAGAACATTTCAGGCAAATTCAAATATCCTGAGGGAAGATTATGTCTGGCATTTGGGGGGCTAACAAGGAAGCTTATGTGGCTAGAGAGGGCTAGGGTGTGCAGTTGGAAAGGAAGCTGAAGCAACTACAGGAACTGGGAGCTTATTCTGAAATGAGAAACCCATGAGTAATTTTGAACTTGGAGCAGCTGACATAATCAGATCTATGTCGTAAGTGCTACCTGTGCTAGGACAACATTAGGAGCAGGAGCCCAGTCAGAGGTTCTGACGACAGTCTAGGAAAAATGATAGTGACTTTAATTAGTGTAGTCGCAGTGGAGGTTCTGAGAAACTGTGAGATTCAAGCTATATTTTCAAAATCAAGCAGAAAGGATTGGCTGTGGGGCATAAAGAAAGAGAAGTTTTTGGCCTAAGCAACTAAGTAAAGGTATGCCTTTCACTACGATGTGCAAGTGGAGATGTTGAGTAGGTGGTTGGGTCAACTAGTCAACAAATCAGCAAGCTGAACACTCGACTTGAGAAGCCATAAAAGGAAAAGCATAGTAAAGCTAGAAAACGTAGAAGAAAAATGGGATGAGCAGAAATTGATGAAGCAGAAACAAGTGATAGAATTGAGAACACAAAAGTTGATTCTTTGAAAAGCTGAAATCAAAATCAAACCCTTTAAAAAGCTAGATATAAGGAGAGAAGAGAAAAGTCAATTATGTATATTAGAAAAGAAAAGGAAACAAACTATAGATACAATAGATTATACAATAGATGACTGACAACACAGATACGTGGTTTTTTTTTTTGGGGGGGGGGGGTACCAAATTACTTCATTTGAAGTAATGGTACAAATGAAAGACATGAATGGATGATTTGGTACAAGTTATAGAGAAGGTAAAGGTAACTCTGACATGCACGTGCTACTTTGGTGACCAGGGAAGTCACTCCCATGGCTACGGGAAGCCAGCCTATGACTTAGCTCTCATCGCTGTCTCCCAGGATGTGCTTGTCAAAGAGAAACTCTGCCATGCCAGTTTCAGGGGCCCTCAACCTGCTCAAGTTGGTTATGTGGTCACCCAATTCATTGATGAATTTCACCTGTTCATTCAGGTAGTGAATCTTAATGAAGTCACACACATTTTTGTCAGTGGCCAGTTTGTGCAAGTCCAGTAGTGATGTGACTCACACTTTTCCCCCAAGTGTGATGCACACTCCATTGCATTCAGCCCAGTCTCGCAGTCATCATGGTCTGTTTTTTTGATATCCCGAATGAAGATTCGGCCAACTCGCTGGTTCTGCAGCTTCATCAATTTCTCAGCACGTTCCGTCTCCTCATGAGGTGGTGAGGAACAAAAGTTCTTCAAAGACACATCATCACGGTCAAAGTAGTAAGACATAGACAGGTAGATGTAGGAAGCATAGAGCTCCAGATTGATCTGGCGGTCGATGGTGGCCTCTGAGCTCTGGTGGTAGGTCTGGTGCACCTGCGAGGTGGACCCAGTCTTCATGGTGGGCGGCTGAGGAGAGTCTGCTGCACAGTGTCAGAGTGGTGCCAGGGGCCTTGGGGCTGTCCAAGGGCGGGCACTCTGAGGAGGTGGTGGAAGGCTGGATCTGGGCAGCTGGCTGGGATAGCTCAAGCTCCAGGTTCTGCCCAAGCACTGTTGAAGCAGGAAACCACAGTGACTCTCCGCAAAGATTGTCCAGATACGTTTTTAAGGATATTATGCAAAACTGTATGTCAGTAAATTGGAAAACATAAGCACAAGGAATAGATTTCTAGAAAAAGAACAGCTTACCAAAACTGACTCTAGGAACAGAAAACCTGGCTAGACCCTCTAGAACCAAAAAGAAATTGACTATATATTTTAAAAATCTACCTCCCAAAAAGAACAAGCTCAGGGGGCTTTATAGACGAGTTCTGCCAAATCTTTAGTGAGTGGGTAATTCCAATCACAGACGGAAAAGAAAAAAGTCTCTTCAAACTTTTATGAGACCAATATAACTATTATAATGAGCCAATGAAAGTATGACACAGGATGTGAAAATAGGGGTAAAAATCCTAGACAAATAAACGGAATCCAGCAATATATGATGATATGTCATAACCAAGTTGAGTTTTATCCTAAGAATGCAAAGATGGTTTAAAATTAGAAAATCAAAGTGAAAAGATTTAAGAGGAACAAATTATATGATTATGCCAATCAATGCAGAAAAGGGACCTGGTAAAATTCAACACCTACTTATGATAAAAAACAAAAACAAAGAACTAACAACAAGCCCTAGCCAGCGTGGCTCAGTGGATAGAGCATCGGCCTAGGAACTGAAAGGTCCCAGGTTCGATTCCTGTCAAGTTGCAGGCTCCTCCACAGTCGGGGGTGGGGGATGGGGGAAGCGCATGCAGGAGGCAACCAGTTGAGATATTTCTCTCACATCGATATTTCTCTCTGTCTTTCCCTCTTTCTTCCACTCTCTCTAAAAATGAATGGAAAAATATTTTTGGGTGAGGTTTAAAAAAACAACAACAGACACACAAAGAATCAACAACAACAACTTAGAGAACTATGAATAGAGTGGGACTTCTCTAATCAAAGGTATCTATAAAAAGACTTAGAGCAAACATCATATTTAATGGTATCAAGTGGAAAGGAAGCAAGAAACAGACAAGATCTACAGTACAATATCATTCATGTAAAATAAAATAAAAAATATGTGCTTTTCCTCCAACTCTCTTTTAACTTTCATCCTTGGAGTTTCACCATGAGGAGAAAGAAGCATTAATCCCAAATTGATTCTCTAGTTGTTAGAATGCAGAGATGGAAATCCAGCTAGTAATTAAAAGCTGGGAAAAGAAATGGAAAAAAGATTCAAATCACTCATTCTAGCTACAAAAATTATAAAAACAGTTGGGAATAAACTTAATAAGAAAAGCTAAAATGTCTATTAAAAAACTATAAAACTTTACTGAAAACATAAAAGAAGACCTGGGGGAAAAAAAAAAAAAAGGATCTCTGACAGGTTTGGCTCAGTGGATAGAGCGTCGGCCTGTGGAGTGAAGGGTCCCAGGATTTGATTCCTGTCAGGGGCATGTGCCTTGATTTTGGGCACATCTCTGGTGGGAGGTGTGCAGGAGGTGGCTGATCGATGTTTCTAACTATCCCTATCCCTTCCTCTCTGAAAAAAAGAAAAAAGAAAGAAAGAAACTACTAAGGCCGTGGTTTGCCGCTCTGCTGACTAATGAGTTTGCCGACCACCGTACTATGGGAAGAGTTGACAATAATAAATATGTCAATTCTTCATAAATTAATCTGGAAATTCTTTGCCTGAGTAAAATTCCAGGAGTTTTTATAGTCTGTAAGAAGTTAATGCTAGACCGAGAAGAGTAAGTATACAACACTAGAAGTTCAGACACTTTTGAAAGAGAAAACCAATGAAGAGGGTCTTGCTAAAAAATCTTTACTTTGTCCGCAACAGGTTTGGCTCAGTGGTAGAGCATCGGTCTGCGGACTGAAAGGTCCCAGGTTCGATTCCGGTCAGGGGCATGTACGTTGGTTGCAGGCACATCCCTGGTAGGGGGTATGCAAGAGGCAGCTGGTCGATGTTCCTCTCTCATCGATGTTTCTAGCTCTCTATCTCTCTCCCTTCCTCTCTGCAAAAAAATCAATAAAATAAAAATAAAAATCTTTACTTTGAATAAATAAGAGTTAAATGATACAATTTCACCCTTTCCATCTGAAAGTAGGAAAATAGAGTTTAAAGCATTTGCTAGAAGAATTTAAAATGGGTCATTTAAAAAATGGGACTATAACATTTTAAAAATGACTCTCCTTAAAAATGGGACTATAGAAGATAAAAACCAGGAAAATGTCATAGAGATAGCAATTGACAGAAAACCAACAACCACAAGGATTTTATGGATATGGCAGATAGAGTGCAAACTTGTACTCCATCTGTCGAAAAATTCCTTGAACTGATAGAAAATATACATTTTTTTTGCCCCGCTGGTGTGGTTTAGTGGTTGAGCATTGACCTGTGAACTGCGAGGTCACGGTTCGATTCCCAATCAAGGCATTTGCCTGGGTTGTGGACTCAGCCCCAGTGTGGGGCGTGCAGGAAGCAGCCGATCAATGATTCGCTCTCACCACTGATGTTTCTATCTCTCTCTCTCCACCATCTCTTCCTCCCTCTAAAATCAATAAACATATATATTTTTAAAATCTCAGGTCCCGCCGGGACCGGTTTGGCTCAATGGATAGAGCGTCGGCTTGGGGACTGAAGGGTCCCGGGTTCGATTCCGGTCAAGGGCATGTACCTTGGTTGCGGGCATATCCCCAGTAGGGGGTGTGCAAGAGGCAGCTGATCGATGACTCTCTCTCATCGATGTTTCTAACTCTCTATCTCTCTCCCTTTCTCTCTGTATAAAAATCAATAAAATATATTTAAAAAATAAAATAAAATAAAATAAAATAAAATCTCAGGTCCTACCTGAAGCCTAGCCTTGAGACGTGGCCTGGGACTGAGTCCTTGGTTTCACCAGCTTCAAACCCTTACCAGCCACACTTGAGATGGTTTTGGTGTTTAATGCTGGCCGAGCCATAGGACTATCAACAGAGATCCACTGAAATCCATCCTGTCAGGAAGTGATCAGCAAACACTGATGTTAATCTGTCTCAATATGACATTATCAAGTGCATGATCTGATTTTCTGGCGAGATGTGAAGGTTTGTCTTTGGCACCACCCTGGTCATGCTGCCTTCCCCGGAAGCTTTAGGTGTCGTCAGTGTGATTTCTTACCATATCCTGGCTCTTTTCTGTCACCATCAGCTTCAGGATCTACAAGGTTGCCATCCAAGCTGTACAGAATTCAGAAGAAGGCCATCCATTCAAAACTTTCCTTAAATACGCGAATGCGGCCGTGGGAAACTCATTATTCTCTCTTTCTGGTAGAAGATCTGGCTGAGTACTTAAAGCTCGTTGTCTTAATGTGACTGATAACTTTTGTTGATTCCATTTTCAATGAAATCACCCTTCTGATTCTTGCTGAACTGCTCATTTTCAATGTTTCGATTGTCTGTGAGAAGTACAAGATCCAGATTGATCACTATGTTGGCTTTGCTCATGGTAAAAAAAAAAAAATCTAAGCAAAACTACCTGGAATTGTTAGTTTTGGAGAATAAGTTACATGGAAACCAGAAATGCCACAGTTACTAAGACATAATTTAATAGTCATAATTTTGTTACCTGTACTCTGAAGGAATGTTTTCAGTGTCAGCCTGAGCCTGCATTCCAAGTTTGTTTGTTTAATTTTGATGTTTCCCCCTCCTTTCTCTTTACCTTTAGTATGAAGCACAACTATTGTTATACTAAAACAAAACAAAACAAAACAAAACAAAAAAAACCACCACCACCACACACACACACACACACACACACACACACACACACAAAACCCTGAATATCTTAAAACCCAAAAGAATAAAGACAGAATCAGTTTAATAGTATAAATCAATACCTTAAGAGTTGTGGAGCTTTTATGTGTATCATGAAAAGGGAAAGATTGAAATAAAGGAGAAAATGAAAAATAAAACACACTCTTGGGTTCTTCTATTTAATTTTCAAGGACTAGCCTGGCTGGTGTGGCTCAGTGGTTGAATGTTGACCTATGAACAGGAGGCCACAGATTGATTCCTAGTCAGGGCACATGCCCAGATTGCAGGCTCAATCCTCAGTGTGGGGTGTGCAGGAGGCAGCCAATCAATGATTACTATCATTGATTTTTCTATCTCTCTTTCCCTCTCCCTTCCTCTCTGAAATCAATCTATCTCTATAAAGGCTAATATGCTAAGTGTTCCTCTGACCATCTGACCAGTCGCTATGTTGCACACTGATCACCAGGGGGCAGATGCTCGATGCAGGAGCTGCCATGAGCACACTAGCAATTTACAAAGAAACACCACCGTGGACCTGGTGCTGACAAAGCAACACTTGGCTTCCCCCAAGTGGGACACAGGCCCCACCACCACCCCGGAGCAACACCCCACCAAATTGCAGCCAGTGCTGCCAAGACCCCATGATGCAAAATGCAGCCCACAGCCCATCGCAGCCCAGCTGGAAACGTTCACTGTGAGCACCAGGTAATGATGTCACATAACAATGCCAGGCTTCTTCTCCCTAGTGACTAGCTTCCTCGAAGTTTCTTCAGCCCAGGAACATGACTTGCTTTATAGCCAGGTGCAAACATTTTACACTTTAACCAGATGAATGTGAAGCATTTTCTGTGCCTCATCTCATTTGATCCTCACAGAAGTCCTGGAGTAGGTAGATAGGAGACTTGATAGAATCCTATTTTTTTTTTTCATTAACAGGAAAATGGAAATTTAGAAAGTTTAGAAACGACCCAACTGAAAAGAAATAAGAAATGGTGGACCTTGAAAATGACTTTAGGTTTTCTCACTGTGCAGAATATAGTCAAACACTGCTGCAGTTAAATATTTTACCCTTTGTTCTCCCTGCATGATCTACAATAATAGTTTTTCTTCGTGTTGATATTTACTGTGTTGCTGACAATTACCTGAAAGAGAAGTTGGGGTGCTTCACTGGGCTGAAAAAAGTTTAGCTAAATCAGAAAGCAGGTCTAATGAAACAAGTTTATTCTATATACTAAAGGCCTGGTGCACAAAATCTGTGCACTGGTAGGGTCCCTAGGCCTGGTTGGCAATCAGGGCTGATCTGTGGAGTGACTGGCAGGGTTATGGGGGGGGGCACTGACACACTGACACCTGCCTTGGCTGGCCTGGCACCATCTGCTTGCTGGCGCCCCCCCCACGCCATCCCCCCTTCTGCCGCCACTGCTGGTTGTCTCCCTCTGCAGGGCGACTGGTGGGGCAATTGGGGGACCACCCTCTGGCACCTGCCTTGGCTGGCCTGGGGCCTGTGAGCTGGGGGCAGTTCCTGCATTGAGAATCTGCCCCTTGGTGGTCAATGTGCATCATAGCCACTGGTCATTCTGCTAGTTGTTCTACCATTCTGTCAATTTGCATATTAAGCTTTTATTATGTACACTGATAAAAAAGAAACATACAAATTAACCATCACTCTGCTATACCACCAGCCAATCAGGAGCAAGTATGCAAATTAGGGCAACAAAGATGGTGGCTGCATGGAGCTGGCGCAAGCAGGAGGCTTCGGTTACCCAGGGAAATGGAGGAAGCCAAGCTTCCTGCCCACCCTGGCCGGCTCTGGCCTTCACTCAAGGCTACAAAATTTCAATTATAGAAGGTAAATAAATCCAGATCCCTGCTTCCAGCCACCCTGGCCTCCACTCAAGAAGGCACTTAAAAAAAAGAAAGAAAAGAAAAAAGGAAGGAGCTGGGAGCCTGGATCATCCTGGGGACATGGCCAGACTGCAAACAGCCCTCAGCCCCTCACCCAGGCTGGCCAGGCACCCCAGTGGGACTCCCATCCTGAAGGGGCTGTGGTCAGCTTGAAAACAGCCCTCAGCTCCTCACCCAGGCTGGCCAAGCCACCACCCAGTGGGGATCCTCACCCAATGGGGGCATGGCAGGCCTACAAACCACCACAGGCCTCTTTCCCAGGCTGCCCCATGTCCCAAAGGAACCCCCACCCTGATCGGGGCAAACCAGCTGGCCCCCACCCATGCACCAGGCCTCTATCTATACTAATAAAAGGGTAATATGCTAATTAGACTGGGAGACCTTCCAGGAGACCTTCCGGATATTCTTCTGGACAAAGCCATGGTGGTGGGGTAGAGGCAGTTAGAGGCCAAGAGGGTAAGGCAGTTGTGAATGATCAGGCCAGGATAGGATGGTAGTTGTGGGTGATCAGGCTGGTGATGGTGGGGCTATTGGAGGGAAGCAGACCAGCAGGGTGCCGATTAGGGGTGAGCAGGCCAGTGGGGAGGGAAGGAGGGGGTAAGAAGGCCAGCAGGAAGGTAGTTGGGAGTGAGAAGGCCAGCAGGGGAGGTAGTTGAGGGTGAGCACACTGGCACAGGGGGCTTTTGGGGGTGATTAAGCTGGCAGGGGGGCATTTGAGGGTGAACAAGCCAACATGCAGAGTGGTTAGGGGCAATCAGGCAGGCAGGCAGGTGAGCGGTTAGGAACCTGCAGTCCTGGATTGCGAGAGGGATGTCTGACTGCTGGTTTAGGCCCAATCCCTGTAAATCAGCAGTAGGACATCCTTTGAGGGGTCCCAGATTGGAGAGGGTGCAGGCCAGGCTGAGGGACATCCCCCCTCCCGTGCACGAATTTCGTGCACTGGGCTTCTAGTATAAGATATAAAAGGCTAAGCTAACTCAGAAATGTGCGATACATATAAAGCTCTCACTGGCATCAAAACAACGTGTGTGTTTTGATCTGTCACTGTCAATCATAATTTGGTTGCTTTTGTTGACATTCTGAAGCCGAAAGAAAGTGGCATCATTGACAAAATATGTCTGAAGACCAACTATTGGCACAACGTACCTATGAAGCTGAAACAAGCTGGTATCATTGACAGAATATGTCTGAAAAACAACTATTGGCACAACATACCGCTGAAGCTGAAAGAAAGCAATGCCATCGACAGAATATGTCTAAAGAAGAGTCATTGACAAGTACTACCAATACTGGCAGAAACTGCCTTCATAGCAAAAGTGAGGTAAATGAGGATGCAATTATTGAACACAGTTGTGGTGGAATGACTGTTACATGTCAATTTTGCCTATCCCTAAATTTCTCTGATGAAAAACCATACGATGGAAAATTTACTCGATGTTGTAGCAAAGGCAAAGCTTTTCCAAATGATATAAATTTTTTTCAGAATACCTGGCATATTTTAAAAAATTAATGATATGCCGAAACCGATTTGGCTCAGTGGATAGAGTGTCAGCCTGTGGACTAAGAGTTCCCTGGTTTGATTCCGGTCAAGGGCATGTACCTTGGTTGTGGGCATGTCCCCAATGGAGGGTGTGCAGGAGGCAGCTGATCGATGTTTCTCTCTCATCGATGTTTCTAACTCTCTATCTCTCTCCCTTCCTCTCAATAAAAAATCAATAAAATCTATTTTTTAAAAAATGAATGATAAATAAAGATTCTGACAGTAAAAATTTCATGGAAAATATTCATTGTTATATCATGTTGTTATTGTTTATTAGTAATCAATTTATATATTATTTCATGTACATTTTACTAATTTTCTTTAATTTCTGACACTTCTGTTATAAAGGGCAAATGGCAATATTAAAATATTTCTTCTAATTAATTTTCTTTCAATGTGCATGAATTTATGTACCACCCCACTAGTAAAAATATATTTTTAAAAGTTTTTCAAAGATGAGTCTCACATACTTTCCCATCATAACATTGTCTTATTTAAAAAATTATTTTAGAGAGGAAGGGAAAGGGAGAAAGAGAGAAATATAAATGTATCACATTAGCCTCCCATACACACCCAGATGAGATTGAATCCAAAAGCTGAATATGTGCCCTGACTGGGTATCAAACCTGTAACCCCTTGGTGCACAGGATGATGTTCTAACCAACTGAGACACACTGGCCACGCTGCCCTTATTTTTAAGTTAACTCATGAAGAAATTATCTCAGTGGAATTCCTTCCCATGGGTTTGTGTTATTTAGCAGTCTTTGATCCCACCTTCCTGTCCCACAATGTGAACAGCTACTTCTCATATTTCTCTTTTATGCTTATTGATATAACTCTCAATTCTCTGGATAACTTATAGGTTAGAGTAATAATTTCTGGTTCCCAGAATGCCATCTGATAGCCAAGAATGGAAACAGAAAGTGGGACTGGAGAAGGAGTCATCAGGAGCACTGCTCTGACCATTGAGCCCTCTCCCACTCATCCTAAAGAAAGGAAAGACTCTGCCATTTGGGAAGGTGGTATCTGTGTCATTTTAGAGACTAGTTCTGGGCTTTAGTTTGAAAACATTTCTGAATGTTCTTTCCTCCCTCTTCCCTACCCACCTCACCTCAAGTATGGTTGTTTCTTTCTTTCTTTTTCTTTTTTTTTAAATATATTTTATTGATTTTTTACAGAGAGGAAGGGAGAGAGATAGAGAGCTAGAAACGTCGATGAGAGAGAAACATCGACCAGCTGCCTCTTGCACACCCCCTACCGGGGATGTGCCCGAAACCAAGGTACATGCCCTTGACTGGAATCGAACCCGGGACCTTTCAGTCCGCAGACCGACGCTCTACCACTGAGCCAAACCTGTTTCGACTGGTTGTTTCTTAATATGAAACTACAGGCCCACTGCATGAAGAGATTCATGCAGTAGGCCTTTCTTCCCTTGGCTTCCATTTCCACTTTTCCTCCGGCACCTGGGACCCAGACCTCCATTCCAGCTGGAATATGCCATCTTCGTCTTTGCTGCAGACTCTGGATGGAGTCTGCCATCTTTGTCTTCGCTGTAGACACCTGAGTCTGTAGTCTTGTTTTTGCTGCAGCACTCCACCCCTGTAGATCCTTTTGCGTCTCCCCCCATCACAGCAGGCATCCTGTCCCACCTGGTCACACCGTACCTGGAGCAGCTGAGTGGCCACCATCTTTGGCCTTCTAATTTGCATACTCACTTTGATTGGCTGTGGGTGTAGTGGAGGTATGGTCAATTTACATGTTTGTCTATTATTAGGTAAGATAAGTGTCTATAACTGCTATACACTGATGTAAACTTGTTAGAAGAAAAAAATCTGTGTGTGGGCACAAACAAACAAACAAACATGAAAACAATCTCAGTAATCTCCAAAATGTAGATATCCTGCAGTTCAATCTCTGGCAACAATACAATAAAATTAAAACTTAGGAACAAAAGAACGGGCAAAAGTAAAACAAAACAAAAACAACAAAAAAACCCACTCTCTATTTGGAAGTTTTAAAACAGGCTTCAATGCTGGGCTGGTGTGGCTTAAGTAGTGGTTGAGCATCAACCTATGAACCAGGAGGTTACGCTTTGATTCCTGGTCAGGGCATATGCCTGGGTTGTGGGCTTGATCCCCATTGCGGGGCATGCAGGAGGCAGCCAATCAATGGTTCTCTATCATTATTGATGTTTCCCACCCCTCCCCCCCACCCCCTTGGTCTCCCCAGTTCCTCTGAAATCAATAAAAATATATTTTAAAAAATAGGCTTCAAAATAACCCTTTGGTTAAAGAGGAAACAAAAACTTAAATTATAAACTCTTCAGAAATGATTGACAATGAGAGCCCTACATATTCAAATCTATGCTATGTGGCCAAAGAGGTAATCTAGGAAAAGTAATAGCCTTAAATGCATTTATTGGAATATGAAAGATAAATGAGAAATAAATTGATTCTGATAAATCATGCTTTCACACAGACATAAAGGGTTTTCCTTCTTTACCCTTAGAAGCTCACTACAAGAAAAATATTGAGGAATAGAAAGGAATAAACCCAACAGAATGAAGAGAACGTGATGAGGATGTGTGGTTATCCTTAATGGATACATTTCAACAATGTTTTTGGAAAACAGATGGGAATTAGTTGATGAATAAAATAGGAAAAATACAGCCTAGAATATTTGACAAGGGAATACAGAGAAGGTGGGAACCAATTTGCCAGATATAACACCAGAGAATAGGCTCAGAATCAGCATGCATATGGTGGAAGGAAAGAATTAAGTGGGACTGAACATTTGGGGACTAATTGAAGACCCTAATACAGAATGACTGTACTAGTTGGAACCTCCTCTCCTCCAACAGATAGCTGAACTGGCAGCTGGTGCAGGCCTGCAGTGAAAATACCTGACAATTCTCTAAAGAAATTGAATGACATGTCTGTAGAGAGCTAGGGCTTCCAGCATGGATGTTGGCCACCCCTGGACAATTTTCTCCTCATTGTAGTATGGGATGTGAACTCTGTTCCTCAGCTCCCTATCCTACAAAGAAGAGTCAAAGAGGAAAATGGGCCTATTTGTCCTAAAGCAGATTAAATCCACAATAGTTACCCAGTCCTTCTTTATTAAATACTAGAGGCCGGTGCACAAATTCGTGCACAGGTGAAGTCTGGCCGGCTTGCTCTGAGAAGGGCCCATTGTGCCAGGCTGATCAGGGGGAGGGGCCTCTGGTGGTTGGCTGGCCACCTCAACCCCTGGTCTATCTACTGGTTGAGGGGACAATTTGCATATTAGCCTTTTATTATATAGAATAAACCTACCACTAAGGATAATCAGAAATTTGAATAAGGCCCTCAACATTGAAAATAGTCAAATATAAACTAGAGGGGGAAAAGAACTTGGAGGAATCCCAGAAAATGCAGGGAACATATGGGAAAACACATTTTAATTTAATTAGCTTATTCCGAGAACTAAGAAAATATTGCATCCACAAGACAAGGACAGAATATTATGTAAAAGGAGTGGAGAATAAAAAAGAATTATTGGAAATTAAATGTGACTATTGAAATTCAAATTTCAATAGAAATATTGAAAGATAAAACTGAAGAAGTCTCCTAGAAAACAGAAGTAAACAATATAGATAAAAAAACATAAAAAAAATATTAGGACTTTGAAGAGTAATTTAGGAAGTCCAGAATGCAACTAATAAGAGTTCTTGAGATAAAACCCAGAAAAGAGAATAAGAATCAGAATAAATAGCATCAGGCTTCATAACAACACTGGATGATAAAAGGTAATGCAGCAACAATTAAAAAGAGATACTCTAACAATGCTTTCAAATTTCTAAGAGAAAATTACTTTCAATTTAGAATTTTACACCAGCCAAAATACACATCAAGTTGATAATGGAATAAAAATATTTGTATATATGCAAGAACTAAGAAAATTTACCTCTCAAATATACTTTCTTAGGAAGCTACTTGAGGGTGTTCTCCAGCAAAATAAGGTTGTAAGCCAAGAAAAAGGAAGATATGGGATCCACAACATAGTGGATCTAATCCAAGAGAGCAGTGACAGGAAATAACAGGAATGCCAACTCGGCAGAAGGCCTGATTGGCAATCAATCCAGAATGGCAGGCTCTAGGAAGAAAAACTCCAAGAATTTTTTTTTAAAAGTCTGAGTGTATGTGAATTAAATGGTGTGATTGTG